AAGTAACAGTTCAGCTAACGTGGACTTGCCTACTGCTCCAGATGGCTCAATCGCCTTCAGCTACACACATATAACCGCACCAAGCCCTTCTTCGTCATACTCGGGGTCTAACAACAACGGAAAGTCTGCAGGATGGACCATTGTCACCAGCCCCCGTTCATCCAGACTTCGGGACAGAGGCGAAACACAACTTGATCCAGAAGTGGAGAATGAGGTTGAAATAGATGGAGAAGGAAGTATCACAGAAATCACTGTTGGCCGTAATAGGCGGATACGAGAAGGAAAGGAAGCGATAAAGTACGACGTGGAAGATATTGTAAAAGGCGAGTCGTCTAAATCCTTAACCGTTCGATTTAATAGTGCTCATAAATTCTTCTCGAATTCAGATCCCATTCATGCCGTTCATTCCCTTTCATCCACCGAGTACGAGGAACGAGTGGCATCCGGAATAGGCCACCCAGAACTGCAGCATCAGCACGCTATGAAAGCGCAGAAAAGACAAAAGTTTGTCGATTGCCTCACGGCGGAGAATGTAGACATCGCTGTCTTACGAAAGCTCGCTTGGAGTGGAATACCTGAAGAGCTGAGGCCTATTTCGTGGATGTTGCTCTTGGTATGTCGAATCAGGACCTTAGTTCAATTGGTGCCGACCGTGGCCTAATAGGGCTATATTCCCCTCTCCGCAGCAACGCGAAACACGGTCCTTTCGCGGAAAAGGGAGGAATACGAAAATCTTGTCCGGTTAACGTTTGCTCGCGGGACAGAGGGTCTGGATCAGCAAATTTGGCATCAAATAGAGATAGACGTGCCACGAACACGCCCCGGAGTTCGCCTTTGGATGGAGAGGGGTACGCAACGGGTAACTCCTTAAACACCATACGTTGATTGATCTAAAATTTGGAAGAGCTTGGAACGGATTCTTTATGTATGGGCCATCAGACATCCCACCAGCGGGTATGTTCAAGGTATCAATGATCTCGTGACGCCTTTCTTCCAAGTATTCCTGGGTGGATACATCGGTATGATCTATATCCCCATGTAGATTGTCATGCAAACTGATTCTGAACATAGACTCTGAGCCTTCACTCTTTGACCCGTCCCTCCTTCCTCCGACCGCCTTGAATGCACTCGAAGCGGATTGCTTTTGGTGTCTCTCTAGGCTCCTTGATGGTATCCAGGACAATTATATCTCGGGTCAGCCGGGTATACACCGAAGCATTCGTTACTTGAGTGGCCTCGTTGGTCGAGTAGACCGTGAGTTTTCAAATCTGGTCAAGCTAGAATCTATCGCTAATGGGGCACAAATCATACCATAGCGCCTCTCTCTAAACATTTGCAATCTCAAAACGTTGAGTTTATGCAATTTGCGTTCCGATGGATGAATTGTCTCTTGATGAGGGAGCTCAGTGTTCGCAATACGATTCGAATGTGGGATACATACCTGGTATGTCACTTTCCTATATACTATTCCTTGATCTAGATGTCAACAAATCATTTTCAGTCCGAGGGGTCGAACGCATTTTCCGAATTCCATATTTATGTTTGTTGTGCATTTCTCACTACATGGAGCGAAAAGCTCAGGGCGATGGACTTTCAGGTACGTATCAGTCGAGCATACTCTTCCATGCCCTCATCTCCTTTCAGGGTATTATTATGTTTCTCCAATCGTTGCCAACCCAGACCTGGGGTGACCACGAGATTGAAGTCTTGCTTGCCGAAGCATATGTGCTCAGCAGCGTCTGGCACAACGCTCAAAGTCACATACTGAAAGGCGAATAGATACTTCTCAGATTCTCGGCCCTCGGTTCTTGGTTCTCGTGGTTTCTCGAGTCTATTGTGCCTACCGCATCTTAACACGAAACATTTGGGAAGACGAAGAATACGTTCATCGCATTGATTGTTTTGTCAATATTTGGTTCGTTCACGGTGTCAGTTGATTGTTGGGTCCACTCTGGTCGGAATCTGCATTTTGGAAGGTCTACTGATATTCACGTTTGGAAGAGACGACTAAGATATGAACATCGTTTAGTCTCCTCAGTAATGTTCATGCTACACGGGAATGATGAGCCTCTTGGTGTAGTTGGTATTAATAACACGTCCTCGATGTAACGATCTGATGTACAGAGGGAGAGCCGTGGTTCGAATCCACGAGAGGCTGAATCTTTATTTTGGTAGAATGGTCATCTCGTATTATTTACCGTGCCGGGAGGAGCATGACCGCGGCTCCACACGTTTTACCAGGTCTGTACGGCTCCTCAATCCTCCCACAAAGAAAAGGAAGACGCTGTACAAAAAATAAGAAGATGCGCCGGAAATTGGTGATGTGTACCACTGCCGAGGTTCTGCATTGCTCAGGAGAGAAAGACTTGCAAAACAGGATAGGTTGCACCAGGAATCGAACCTGGGTCTCCGGCCAAAGAATGCCGGTATGCTTAAATGACCACTGCACCATGCAACCTTCGAATTAAATTCTGGAAAAAAGACCAATATCATCTACTTAGAAATTGAATCCCAATCGAGACTCGTCGAGTGTTACTTAGGATCATTGACAGCATCTATTTAAGGGGCCGGTCGAGTCCAAGGTGACATACATCACGAATCCCTATTCATATGCATAAGTAAGAGTCGAGTTTGAGATGTCTAGCCTAGGTGAGATCTGCGAAAACGTCGTCACACCCCTTGTTATCTTCCTCCTTCGTTGGTTCCATCCCAACCTCACTCAACATTCGCCCAATACCAACAGTCTTCACCCTCTCCAGCTCTTGCGAGCTCTTGACGAGCAACATACCCCCGAAACCAAGTGAGTTGATCGAGAGGCTCAGGAATGGTTCGTCCCCCTCTTTGGTTGCGGACAGGTGCGATATTTCATCTGTGCCCGACGGATCCCGTGCAATAACAACCTTCTCCGCACTACGCGGGAAAAGATAAATGTGTTCGAGCGTCATCACGACATTATAACTCGGTGTAGACGGTGCATCACTAGACGTCGTCGTCGCCCCTGTTGCTGCATTATGCTGGGCGCGTACCCTCATCGTTTGGTACATCTCATCCAGGACCGACATGAACGACATCGAGAGCTCGGCGCCCAATCGGTCCAGCGTTTCCTCTGACGAAGATGAGGACGACGAAGGGTAGGTCGATGTGACAATACTCGACGCGGAGGCGACCACATTTCGATCTAATCGTTTGATGTGCGCTGCAAATGGAACTTTTGGGATTACAAAGGGACGTGCTGGAGAGAGATGAAACCCATGAAAGCGAGGGAATCAGTGAAGAGTACGGAGTCAATCAGATACCCATACGTGCTCACCTTCATTTTCGATTTTTGCACTCCGAGCGAGACGCTCGAGAGGTGGTTCACCTGGCATAAACTGGATATGTTTGTGCGGTTGACTAGCCCCGCTTAATACACCACAATTGAAAAAGGCAAAATATGGTCGTTGTCGAGATTGAGCCGCTAGCAAAAGAAGATATGTCTGGATGAGTTGACCAGGCGTAAGAGGGTGCGACTGCGACTCGTACACTATTCAAAGCCAAACAAAGGGTGGGTCATTGAACGCGCTCAAGAGGATGAATACACTGCGTTAGGCAGAAGGGTGGACACGTACGCTTCGTGACAAGTAGAAAATGTCCTCGGGCGACAGCATATTTGTTCAAGAGTACATAATATCCATCCTTTTCGGTCTCTCCCGTATCGGCGTCTTCCATCTCCCCAACGAGAAGCGTGTTGAATGGCGGTAAGAACGGGTCCGTTTTCGTGATCGTTTCCACCACTTTGAGCACGTCGTGCGAATCGGGCGCGATGTTTGGAGTCGGTGCTCGTACTTGATGTTTCTGTGCTAGAGCTGGGCAGAGACGAACTTGATACTGAGTAGAAGCAAGATGTGAGTCCAGAAGGTCGCACGTATGACAAGGACAAAGATCGATCAAAGATCACATAACCGTATAGAGAAGATACACACGAAAAGAAGAGTCAAGGAGTTAATAAGTGACATACAGAGATACCAGAATCGAGGACTTCTTCACTGGTACTTTCATAATACTTCAGATCGCCACTCGCCAATGCGTCCAAAATGGCCTGATCGAGCGCATCGATGATCTGTAC